ATACACAAAAATGAAGCTGATTACGTATGTGGGACGAGACTGGGAAAGTTCATCGTCATTTTCCAAAACAAGGCCAAGGACAGACTGAAATAGAAATAATCAGTTGCTCATATGCAAATTCAGGCTGAAGCTGAAGAAAATTACAAGTCCACGAGACCCCAAATATGTTCTTAAACCTATCCCTCCTGAATTTAGAGACCATCTCAAGAGCACATTTGATGCATTGAACACTAATGACTGAACACTAGAAGAGTTTTTCGGATGACATCGAGAACATCATACAGGAAGAAAGCAAAAGTTCATTAAGAAGACAAGAAAGAAAGAAAAGAACAAAATGAGTGTCAGAAGAGACTCTTGAAACTTGCTCTACAGTGTAGAGATGCTAAATTCAATGAAATAAATGAGGAAGTAAAAGAGCTAAACAGAAAATTTCAAAGGGCAGCTCGAGAAGATAAAGTTAAGTATTAAAATGAAATGCACAAAGACCTAGAGTTATGAAATCAAAAGGGAAGCATATGCTTAATATTTCTCAAGTTAAAAGAATGGAAGAAAAAATTTAAGTCTATTTGCAATACTGAAGGATTCTATTGGTAAATATTGAATGCTACAGAAAGTATTAAAAGAAAATGGAAGGTTCACACAGAGTTACTTGTAGCAAAAGTAATGGTCAGTGTTCAGCTATTTCAAGAGATGACATATGATCAAGAGCCAGTGCTATTGAAGGAAGAAGTCTAAGGTGCACTGAGTCATTGGCAAAGTACAAGGCTTGGGGAATTGATGGAATACAAATGAAATCTTTCAATAAACTGATGAGACACTAGAGGCACTCACTCATCTATGCCAAGGAATTTAGAAGAAAGCTACCTTGCTAACTGGAATAGATCCATATTTATGCCCATTCCAAACGGCATGCAAAAATCATCTAATGCTATCATTAATTTCTATGCAAGTAAAAATTTTCAGAAGATAATTTAAAAATGGCTCCAAAAGTATATCAGAAGGGAACTGCCAGAGGTTCTAGCTGGATTTAGACGAGGATTAAAGATATCATTGCTGACATCAGATGGATGTTGGAAAGTAGAGAATACCAGACAGATGTTTACTTGTGCTTTATTGACTACATAAATACTTTCAACTCTGTGAATTCTTACAAGCTGTGGATAACATTGGGATGAATGGGTGTTCTAGAATACTTAATTGTGCTCATGAGGACCTGTATATATAGACGAAGAGACGATCATTCAGTCAGAACAAGGGGAAGCTGAATGGCTTAAAACCAGGAAATCCATGTGCCAGGGTCATAGTCTTTCACCATATTTATTCAGTCTGTATGCTCAGCAAATAATCTGAGAATCTGGAAAAATACGAAGAATATGGCGTCAGGATTGGAAGAAGACTCATTAACAACCTGTGATAATGTGGAAATGGTACAACCTTGCTTGCTGAAAGTAAAGAGGACTTAAAATATTGATGAAGATGAAAGATCACAGTCTTCAGTATGGGTTGTACCTGCATATAAAGAAATTAAAAATCTTCACTGTTGTTAAGTGCTGTCAAGTGGGATCTGACTCATAGCGACCTGGTATAGGGTTTCCAAGTACTGGACCAATATTGATAGATGGAGAAAGATTGAAGATGTCAAAGACTGCATTTTGTTTGGATCTGCTATCAACACGCATGGAATCAGCAATAAAGAGGTTAAATGTTTTAACGTTTTCAAGAGCATGAGGACTATTGATATTTTCAGTAGCCTCATATGCATGTGAAAGTTGGACCGTCAATAAGGAAGACTGTAGAAGAATTGATGCGTTTTAGTTAACAGTGGTGGAGGAGAGTATTAAAAGCACCATGGACTCCCAGAAAAATGCTCCTTAGAAGCCAGGATGGTGAGGTTTTGTTTTTCATACTTCAGACATATTAATCTGGAGGGACTTGGTAAAGTGGATGGTTAGTGAAAAAAGAAGACCCTCCCAATAAAAGATGGATTGGATTGGGACTGGGCAGTATTTCATTCTGTTGTTCAAAGGATCACTGTGAGACGGAACCTGCTTGACAGCACCAAACAGCAATAACCTTAGTATAATTTGTGAATGATCAATGTTTAACTTAAAAAAACAAAACACACTTTGTATTATGAATCAGGGAAGGTTTACAGAGCAGATCTGTTTTGCAGACAGCTCATACATTTTATTTCATCTTATTGAGATCCCCTCAGTGATAATGTCACATCCCACTTCCTCCCTGTGTTTCCTGTTTCTATTCTTTCCTAAACACCTTGGGTAAATGCTGCCCTTTTGATCTTAATTGGTTGATTATTCTAAGGTGCTCTGTATACCTTACTAGTGCTGTTGTTCCCCTTACAGACTTGTCTGTTGTGTTAGGAGTCCAGGTGTGGCACTGTAGGATAAGCATTGGACTGCAAGGTTGATTTGAATCATGAGGTCAGCAGCTCAATGGCACTTAACAACAATGAATTGTGTTTTAACATTTTAAAGAATTTTACTTGGTCTTAGAGGAAGCTGTCAGTATAAACAGAGCCCTGGGTGGCACTGCAGGATAATGCACTGGACCACAAGGTTGGTTTCAACTGCAAGGTCAGCAATTGAATCCACCAGCCACTCCTTGGAAAACCCTACACAGGGTGGTTAATTATAATTGTTTTATGTTAGGTATTAACCACTAAGACTGCAGTCACAAATTTTTTTTAAAACAGTTTCATACTGGAAAGGATATTAGTTATTTGGTTCATCCTATGCTTAATTCTGTTTCCTTATTGACTTGTTTCAAAGCTTTGTTATTTCTTTCTCTGACCTTTATTGTGCTGCTGATGGCTTTTTATATTTTTCCCCAGACACAAAGAAAGATTAAACTTTTTTTTATGATAACTTATGAAGCCAAAAAGAAATGTTTTAAGTATTACATATCACTTTATAAACCTAGGTGACAATTGATGAATGTCCTCAAAAATAATTGGACTTCTTCAGTTTTGGTTTCTGTTAATCTGTGCATGGGCTATTTAGGAACTTTAATATTTGTTATAGATTGTCCGTAACTTATAGTTAGCTATGCTTTTACTTACTAATGTAATTTCTCTTTTTTCTCTCTTTGCAGTGATTATTTATTCAAGTTACTTCTGATTGGAGACTCTGGGGTTGGAAAGTCTTGCCTCCTCCTTAGGTTTGCAGTAAGTTGAAATTAAAATGTCTTTAAAGAAATTAATTTATTAATGCATTTATATATTTACATTAATGGCAAATTAATACATTTTTAAGTAGCTAAATTAAAGAATTTAAGAATAGGTAAATTCTTACAGAACTTACATATGTAAAAATCATGAGGAAGCTTACATCCAGTTGGTGTCTTAGACTCTTAAATAGAAGAAATGCTGTTACTCTGAAGAAATAAAGCTTTACAAGATAGGGAAAATCAGCTTAGTGTTCTTATAGTCACTATGTCATACTTCTGGTGGAGGTCATGTGGTGCTGTGTTCCAACCCAACATAGGTACAGAGATAAGGGGGAAATAATTGCCTTGTTTTGCAATCAACTTGATGAAAATGAAACTTCAAATAAAACATGGAAATAGAATAAAAAGAAAAAATCAAGGGCTGGTTCAAACTTAGTTTGATAATGATTTAGTGTTCTATGTGTTGAAATTGACAGATTAATTTTTCAATTTACCAGTGTCTTGGGCAAAACAGTAAAAAACATTATTAATTTCATGAAATCTTTTTTCTTGAGTATTCTGTCCTAATGTTCAATGTGAGGAAATGGAAAGTACACCTAGAGAATTTCTTTGTGTACTGGAGTACTATGGATATCATTGTGAAAAACTCATAAGCATTAATTGTGTGGAATTCAGAATAGGACATGGAATGAGGAATATCACTGCTGATGTTAGATCTTGGCTGAATGCAGAGAATACCAAAAAGATGCTTGCCTGCATTTTATTGAGTGTGCAAAGCCATACAACTGTTTGGATTGTTACAAATGATTGATAACATTGCAATAAATGTGAATTCCAGAACACTTCATTGTGTTCCTGTGCAACCTGTACATACATCAAGAGACAGTAATCAGGAAAGGTGTGCATCAGAGTTGTATCCTTTCATAATACTTATCCATTGAGTCGTTTCCGATTCATAGGGACCGTTTGTAGTGTTTCTGAGCAGCATCTGATAGGATTTAACTGTCAACTGTGTGGTTAGTAGTATACTTCTTATGTGGTAGCATTATGAAAAAGTTTGAAATACTGTGAGAATTACCAAATTATGACACAGCCACAAAATGTGCACTTGCTGTTCAAAATTGTGTTAATATACTTGCTTGTTGCAGTGTTGCCACAACCCTTTAATTTGTAAACAACACAGTATCTGCGAAGCGCAGTATAAAGCAAAGAACACAAAAAACGTGGTGTGCCTCTGTATAAAGCATACTTACACATCAGCAAGAAAAGGATACTTATTCCAGTGGGAATATAGGCAAAGACATGAGGCAGTTCACTAAAGAAATGAAAATTGGCAATAAATATGAAAAAAGTTCAACTTTGGTTGTAATGAAAAGATTTTAAATTAAAATTACCTATCACTTCTCATCAGGTTGTCAAAGATTAAAATGAAAAAGAATTCCTAGTATCTGACATCTCTTACTTGATTGTGGCTATAGGTTTAGATATTTGTGATGCAAAGCATCCTCTCTGGATACAATCTCAGTACTGCCTACACAGTAGAGTATCTTGAGGAATTTTTAATAATACTGATGCCCAGACCCTCCCAACTAAAACAGGCATGACAAAAACTACAATAAAGATGTTCGTAGAAAGCTATGGGAGCACAGAGGGAAGATTTCTTAATTATTGCCAAGGAGCTGGAGAAATTTGGATACTCTGTAGTATTAAATTAATATAAATTGCCATGCTAATCCAGGGGCTGAAGGTAGGGGGAATGCAGGAAGAGGTTGTGAGAATTTGTACAGAAGGGATAGCATGTGCAGTGACTCTGTAGCTTGAGGTACAGGTACTTGGATCCACAAGAGTTTAATATTTATAACCTAGTACTCAGAATGTAAAAAGGTAGTAAATAAATGTATATTGCATTCATTTTGCTCTTTCCATATTCTATATTGTTGCTGTTGCCAAGTATTGTCGAGTCAGTGCTGACTCAACAGCAACCCTGTATAGGGTTTCTGAAGAGGATCTGGTAGTTTTGAACTTCTAACCTTGTGGTTCACAGTCCAGTGCTGATCTTATAGTGCCACACCAGGAATCCTAATACTTCATAGGTACTCAGTTAAAAGAACCAGTACCTAGTACTAGTGAGAAGATAATGGGGCCTCATTTTGTTAAACTGCATTGTTATTGTTACTGTTGTCTAGTGTGTTCCTACTCATGGTGAACCTGTACAGGGTTTTTGAGGAGTGGCTGGTCAGTTTGAATAGTTGACCTGCAGTTCAAACTGACCTTGAGGTCCAGTGCTTATCCTACAGCGCCATACCCAGACTCTGAAAATGCAATAAATGCCTTAAAAGGGTATCTGCTGTCACCCAGTAGTTCAAGATGTGCTTAAGGATGGCCATATGAGAATAATGCAACATAACTGTAATTTGTATTAGTATGAAATTGTTACTAATTCTTGCTAAGTATGAAACTTGTTGTTATGTGCCATCTAGTGGGTTGCGACTCATAGCCACCCTGTATAGGGTTTCCAAGGAGTGGCTGGTGGGTTTGAACTACCGGTCTTGTGGTTAGCCATCTAGCGCTTATCATTACAGCACCACACCAGGACTCTTTGAGTATTTTGAGTGAAGAAAACAGTATGTGAAATAAAAAATTTTTGTTTTTAAAAATATGAATATATGCAGAGAAAGATAGAAAAATATTGGCGTAATGGGTTGAATGTTGGGCTGCTTACTTTTTTGGAAGGTCAGCAGTTCGAATCCACCAGCCGCTCCACGTGAGAAAAATGAGGCATTATGCTCCTATAAAGATTTATAGCCTTGGAAACTGTATAGTGTTGCTATGAATTGGAACCTACTTTGCACAGTACACAGCAACAACAAATGATGAAATAACTTGGGCTTTTTTTTCTATTTCCGTGTGCTTTTTTATGTTTTTCCAAATTGTCTCCATTAATTAGCTAGTAGGGAAAAAGAAAGGAGTGTTGATGGCACAGTAGTTAAGCACTCAGCTGCTAACCAGAAGGTCAGTGGTTCAAGCCCACTCGCTGTTCCAGGGGAGTAAAGACCTGGCATTCTGTTCCTGTAATGCTGACAGCCTAAGAAACCCCATAGGAAAATTCTGTTCTGTCATACTAGTCACTATGAGTTGAAATTAACTCAGCAGGATACAACAACGGGAAAGATGAGTAAAACGGTTTTTTTTTTTTAACTCTTTGTGGCATTAAACTATGCAAATCTTCAAAGTTGAGTCCGTTATGATTTTTTCATTAACCAAAGTATAGTTCATTTAGTAACACTGTGATTCTGGTGTATTTCTGATGACAAAGGATAGTTTATGTTTTTTGAAACTCAAGAAAATTAAACCCAGAGATCCATATTTTCTTAGGCACATTTGATGATTGCAGTCTCAAGGCCTTTAACTATCATTCAACATCCAAAGATTTCTCTACATATTTTTTTTTTTCTTAAGTGTTATATTGTGAATTATGTGATAGTTTACATGTGAGGACGTTAGTTTTACATTCATTCTATCTTATATCGTCTCACTCCTATGGTTACAATCCCCTCCATGCAATCCTTCCCCCGTACCCCCCAGGTCTCAGTACACAGTCGCTCTCCCTCTCTGAATCTAAAGTCTCCAGCTGCTCCATCGCGCCACATCATCATCTCTGGCTCCATTTCAGGTATCACTGCTTCTCTGGGTAGGGTCCCGCACTCTGCTCTTCTCCCTTGATGGTCCTAGGGACCTCTGCTCCTAGACTGAAAAGTTAATCACTCCCCT